GTTTGCTAATATTCTCTTCTGTGGAGGAACAATCTGGTCAGATTTTATAAAATGGGGAGCTCATCGCATAATTGGTGGTTTTTTCACCACTAAATGATCAATAGTCCTGTTGAATCCAACCAGTCGTGATGAAGAAATGATGAAAAGTCAAGATAGGTTTCTAGCCTACATCCATACACTGTGTCATCAAACCAGTTAGCCATATAAGTCCCTATATATGCATTTTATCAGGATCCTTTAAAGTGACACAAAACTCAGGAGTTAGATCTCAAAAATGCAATCAAGTACCTTAACTATTAACAAAAATGTATGTTTCTGTAGATCATCAAATCCTCTCTGAATTTTGTACTGATACTGTCCTTCCTTCTGGAGGGTGGCTACATTTGTTGTCCATAGTCCCTGTGTGTGTTCACCATGGTCCCACACAGGGATCATAGGGAAAAAAAGTAGCCACCATCCAGAAGGAAGGACAGTGTCAGCAGCAATTCAGAGATGATTTGAGGAACTACAGCCGAGTGATACACAAATAAGATACATTTTTGTTAATAGTTAAGTTACTTGAATGCATTTTTAAGATTTAACTCCTGAGTTAGGTGTCACTTTAAACCAGACCAAAAAATATGATGATGTCTTCCTTGCAAGGCAGGATTGGTATTTTGCTTTAGAATAAAACTGTATGTTGTCTGATAACCAAATGTGTCCACACACCTAAAATGACTATTACTTGATCTGGCTATTTACTTTAAAATTGGGAAATGATCACGTCTGTGGACACTCCCTACCCTTTCAAGATGTTCCCTGTCTGACTCCTCTTGGGGTACAAACAGTTAGCCCTGTTGCCAGTGGTGGACCTAAGGAACAAAGGGCCCTGGTGCAAAACATTTTTTGGGCCCCCCACAAAACCCCCCCACAAACACAGCACTCTCTTCCCGCAGCGCTCGGCCGGCTGTCACACTTTCTCTCCACCCCGCTGGGACACAGAGCGGGGAGGAAAGAAAGCAGGGATGCGCCGCTGTATCGGCAGAAAAAATGGCACTTTCGGCATTTAGCCAAAAGTGCCGTTTTGGCGGCCGATATATCGGTGCATCCCAATTATATTTACAGCAATGCAGAATGGCACAGGCTATAGAGAGCTGCACATCCCAACAATACTTTATATAACAATGGCATTTCTGTATAAAGTACTGCTGAGATTTGTAGTCCTCTCAAGAGGGTGCTGCAATTGTGTATAAAATCCGCGCATTTGGCGTTTCCTTTCAATGCAATGTGTCAGCAACAGTGAAAACAAGTGAAGCCTAAAGTCACTCTTTACAATCTCAAGACAAAGTCACTGCGCTCAAAAACTTACAACTTGTACATAAATATACAAAAACAATAAAGTGACTAGTGATAGCCCCAACATAATATGCAACCTCCCCTATAGTTAAACTCAATACAAACTCAAAACTGCATGTGCAATGTGTTGTGATCCAGGGAACATGTGCAACTCCACAACTTGGTCTCAAACAAACAAAAAACAAAAAGGGCTCTTCAAGAGGATATGTCAGCAATATATAAAGTGCAAATGTTCAACATTCCAAAAAAGTATTTCTCAAGGTGACCATACACTTTACAACCATCGCAAGACCTTAGTCTTGCGATGGTTGTAAAGTAATTTAAAAAACGTACGATCTGCCTATCTTGGACAGGCAGATCGTACTTGCGATCATCGCAAGCCCGCCCCCTTGAGGGGCGGGCTTCCGATGACTGCAATGCTGAACGGGCAGTGTGCGCGTGCGCACACCGGCCCGTTCAGCATTTGTCTCCCGAGCATCGTTCAAACCAGCCATTTTCCGCTGGTTTTCTAGCATGCTCCTTAGACAAAAGACGTGCAACCGTACAGTAGAAACGGTCGCACGTCTTCATTCACACTGCACGATTCTCGTACGATCGCGAGATTTCCCACGATTCTCGTACGAGAATCGTGCAGTGTATGGGCACCTTCAGTGTTTCTGTGTAATCAATACACTCACCAGACTCCTTTACCACTATTAAATGGTCAAACTGCACTCAGATTCAAATCCTCTCTCCCAGGACAGCTGATGGCAACCTCCTTTGCAGTCAATATCTCCTTTCAGTTTGCTGTTTTTTTTAAAAAAACTTGGTGGGTTCAAGTTGTTCCAATTCCTGTCAATCCACCTTCTAAATGGCCAATATTAGCCTCCTCCGCACATTTCTCCTTGTAGTTCATTCAGTGCCGCATGGAAAAAAATGTAGACGCCACATAGTGTGAAAAACTTTTAATCATAGATTCTTTAAAAACTTACATTCAAGGCTTAATAGGCAGAGCTGTATATTTCCTCCACTGGCAAACAGCTTCTCCCACAGTGATCAGCTTGATGACATCAGCGTGTTAACTCCTCCTTGACATGTTTCGTCATGAAGACTTTTTCAAAAGACCTTTTGGAAAAGTCATAGAGGGTGCCATTCTGCATTGCTGTAACATTAGGCTACAAATAATAATGATTTTAATTAATTATTTACCCTTACCTCTTCTGTCTTCAGCTGTTTCCTGTGTGTGTTCTGTTTGCGGAGTCCTCACTGCCAGAGGCGGCTCTAGACTTTGTGAGGCCTAAGGCGAAACTTAAACATGAGGCCCCATCTTACATATGCACGTATACATACACTCATATGTACACACATGCATACATACATACATACAAAAATGCAAAGTCATTTACTCATGCGTGCACACACTCATACACCCTGTTTATTATAGTACAGGTTTAAGAAGTCAGAACAACTCTGGAGATCTTCTTAAAATTAGCAGTAGATTTTCTTAAATATTAGGATGTATGTTAAAGCATTTTAGATAATTATTACACTTAAATAAATGGGGACAGGTTAATTTTTATTTTCTATAGATTGAAGACGCATATCTCTTAAACCTATTAATGACCCCTGTAGGTTTAGGAGATATGCCTGTTTTCTCCCCATCTCTCTCATGCCACCTGTTCTTTCATATGCCCCCTGGACTCTCCCATCACCACGGCCCCCCCTGCACCTCTCCCCCAACTCCAGCACCCCTTCCATCACATATTTCCTGCACCTCCCATCACCTTTTCCCCAGCCCTCAAATCATGGTCCCTTCCCATCTCTGCAGCCGCACCTCCTTCTCCAATCACATCTCTGCAGCCCCTCCTTCTTCAATCACATCTCCGCAACCCCTCCTTCTCCAATCACATCTCCGCAACCCCTCCTTCTCCAATCACATCTCTGCAGCCCCTCCTTCTCCAATCACATCTCCGCAACCCCTTCTCCAATCATATCACCGAATCCCCCCTTCTCCAATCATATCTCCGCAGCCCCCCTTCTCCAATCACATCTCCGCAACCCTTTCCTTCTCCAATCACATCTCCGCAACCCCTCCTTCTCCAATCACATCTCCGCAGCCCCCTTCTCCAATCTTATCTCCGCAGCCCCTCTTTCTCCAATCACATCTCTGCAGCCCCTCCTTCCCCAATCACATATCTAAAGACCCCCTTCTCCAATCACATCTCCACAGCCCCCTCTTCTCCAATCATATCTCCGCAGCCCCCTTCTCCAATCACATTCCTGGAAGCGCGAGGCCTCGCACCAGCCTCAGCCTGGGGGGCCCAGCACTTGCTGGCCGCCGGCCGCCGGATAGCACCGGATCAGCGTCCGGGAGTACCGGCTGCACCGGCGGTAGTTCCGCCACTGCCTGTTGCATTTCACTGGCCCATTGCTTATTGTTGTCACTCTTGAAAAACTGATGTTAGGGATAGGGGTTGACCGATTATCGGATCTACCAATAATCAGGGCCTGATATTCACAAATTTTGAAATTATCAGCATAGGTTAAATTTACTGATAATAAAGATGGCCATACACTGTGCAAATTTTGACTGTTTTTTGAGGAACCAGACAAAATTTGAACAGTGGGTGCCACTGTCTGCAACTTATCGGCTGGCATCCCTCAATCAGCTGATAGAAGGAGCCAGGAAAATCTTTGTACGAATAGAGCCAGCAGCCAATGAGCTATGGCTCTTTTCAGGTATTGCGACAGTGTTCGGCCGTCACTGTCAGAATACAAAAGAAACAGCAGATGTTGCTAACTTTCTCCTTCAGGTCCACTCCTCTTCTGATTGACAGCTGGCAGTGGGCGGGTGCAGGAGCCAGCCTGCTATTGGCTATTGCACCGCCTGCTGCGGAATCTAGCCACCGGCAGATGAATGTGGCGAGGGGGCCACGGGGGCTGTGTTGGGTGGAGTGGAGGCTTCCCTTCACCACCATCAGATGGGGTGGACCGATATCAGATGTTTACACTCAGCTGCCGGTGCAAGATCCTGCAGCTGGATGTAAACAGAATGTTGGTACCTGATAATGTTTATCAGCCTGAAACAGGACTCTAGCTACCATGGGGCGAGTGATGCACTCGCCTCAGGCGCAGCTGAGAGGGGGCGTAGCAAGGGCCGGCGTGGATGCACCCCCTTGCCCGTTGCCATGGTGAGCACAGGGCTGCATTAGCAACAGGGGCACCAGGCCGCTAACACAGCGAAACATGGAAACTAAAAATGTTTTCATTAAGATGCCACATACCGCCCACGTCTGTTGGGGGAGGGGGGCACAATTTTCTGTTCTTGCCTCGGGCCCAAAAGGAGCTAGCTACGGCTCTGGCCTGAAAGGTGGCCCATAATTGGTATCACTTCTGAGAAAACCATATATCGGTCGACCCCTAGTTAGGGATGTTTTTGTTCTCTAACCACTCTCTTTTAGCGGTATAAACAATCATACCTATATTGTAGAGCATTGCGCAAACTGTTGGCGCTATATAAATCCTGTATAATAATAGTAATAATTGGCTAATCAGAGATGTATTTCTACAGAATGATCTTTTATCAGAAACATCGTTCTGCAGTCAGATTTTGTCTACACAACTTACATTTATATTCTAGTGTTCTTGTATTCATAGCTTGATCTATTCTTTGTCTTACTTTTCAGGTTTAGCTTTCAGGCCTTGTACAGCTACTTACCACAGAATGAAGATGAGTTGGAGCTCAGAGATGGAGACATTGTTGATGTCATGGAAAAATGCGATGACGGGTGGTTTGTAGGTGAGACTATTCACTCAAGTAGAGACACCACATTACACAGTTTTTCATAATCTATGTGGAACTGCTAGTTAGAATTCATTTTGTTTCTGAGAGATATTCTGAGCTTCTAAACAATTGGCCATGATCTTGCACATCGTTTGCATAATCAACATCTAATACTCGATAAGACAGCAGCCTTTTAATAGCCAAGAGTGTCCCTACCTGTAAAACCCATTATAATCTTTGATCAGGCCAATCCACATTGTTCTTGCTCTTATGTTTTATTTTTAATTTTCAAGTTTTTCAATTAGTACAAGTGTTAACAAAAGGTTTACTTGTACTTGGGGGGGGGAAAAATCATAATTTTTTTATTTCCTTTATTTATAACCCGTGACACTGAAAAGATACAGTATGAGATATAATGGTGCTAGGTGCACAGAAAAAACATGCCATATTATATTTGTTCACCGGCCCAGCAGCAAACTAGCGATAATGCATACTGTAGTTAGAGGGGTTAATATGACTTGAGCATTAATAAATAAATGAAAGACGGCAAAAAAGCTCTAAAGAGAATACGATATTTTTTTGCATTTTCTTCTTTTACTGCATCGTTCCCAGATATGTCTATACAGTTTACTGTCTTTTTAGTTGGGTTTAGAAGGGTTAGAACCTACTGGTTTTTATTGGTGTCTGTGTCTATGCTGCGGAGATCCATCCTTACTATTGGTCCTGGTGACCAGGGCCGGATTTCCCACAAGGCCAACCAAGGCCCGGCCTTGGGGCAGCAGGGATGTGGGATTCCTATCTTCCGATGCCTCGGACATGAAGTTCCGGGCGGGTAGTTTTTTCTACATTTAGCCCTGCTTTGTTCATGCAGAGCTAAATGTACCATGGAGAAGCTGCCGCTTGTTTTGTACATGTGCTCTCAGCAATGTCGATCTCCGCAGTGTACTTGTGATCTCGGCAATGATCTCAGCAATCACTTGTATGCAGCCTGCAGGTCTGCCATTCTCCATGGGGGGTAAGGGGGCACATTGAGGAACCTCAAGCAGAGAGAGTAAATCCGGCCCTGCTGGTGACCATTGTCTCCAGAACAGAAAGTGATGGGAAATCCAAAACGATTGAGCGGTCACAGAAACAGGAATTAAGAGGAAATCTTACAATGGTATAACCTTTTCCAGTGGCAAATAAGAGGATATGTTCCCTCACTTTGGAGAGAACACCTCTTAATTTTTGGTGCATCTCTGGACAGACTGACCAATCCTTTGGCAGATGACACACATAATATGTTTATTTCACCCATTTGCCTGGAGTTTAACATTAAACTTTGCTTCTTAGCTATTCTAATTTTGCTTTGCTTATTCAATTTTTTATTTTGTAACAGGTACATCAAGAAGAACAAAACTGTTTGGCACGTTCCCCGGCAATTATGTCAAGCCATTGTATTACTAAAGACGATACAGCACGCAGCTACAGAATTATTAAGCTATACTTATAAAGAAACCGGCTTATGGTATTATGCTATGTGAAGGCATTTGCTGAATGTATTCATTAAGGTTCTACACAAACAAGGTTTACATGTGTCAGTACTGTGTTCAACTCTATATTTCTAATATGAGACAATGAAGAGTTATTCCCGCTAGTCAATCTGTTGTTACTAAGTTGCCTTAATGTTCTGTTATTTTAATGAGGAGTCTTTCCTTTTCATACCTATTTTTGAAAGTGTACCTGTCTCCTGCATACAGAGAAGCCATTTGCTGAGCTGAAATGATACTAATGGAATAATAGGTGGGATGTGCTCTTGCCTGTTTCTGTTGAATTGAAGAACCAATGTTTGGTCACCCTAGGTCCATCGCTACCACGCGGCAAGGTGAAAACCTGTCCTTAAACATTGCCCTCCAGAGGCAACAATGGGGCAGGCTTCTCACCTTACCTCCTGGTCCCTAAGTTTCTACCTATTGCTGGGCACAATGAGGAATGCAGTGATGCAAAATCTTTACATTCACTTTGTCACCAGTGTTCATAATATCTGCCATGGTACAATTGTGAGAGGAGCATTATTAAGTAGAGGGACTTTGTCTTTGGAGGCAGAACAGGATCTTAAAGTTTCTGGCTTGTCCCCATTCCTTGGCTGCCTTCCATTTATGCATAAAGAGAGTATAACATAACAATTGTGGTTAGGGTCACACATTAACAGAACATCTATTTTTACTGTCACATTTATAAGCTGAAAATAACACGAGGTCACAAAATAGTGGTGTGATTTTCCAGTGATACAACAATATGTAGCATAGACATGGGCTTTAGTCATCAGTTGATAAAGAGGTTTTAGAATGTTTTTCCAGAGATTAGTCTTGACACTGATATCGGGCCTGCAAGGTATGAAATGGCACTCACCTCATTATTGCATAACAGTGTAGGCATATGTGCACCAGTAATTTTTACATGCCACAAGTATAATGTGATTGAGTTACGGAAGTACATCTGACAAACAATAGTCGTTGTTTTCTCTGCTGTTATATCTTTTCACTTGCATAGCTCAATAGGTTATACAACGGAAGGCAGGATAATATAGGGATGCAAGATTTTTAGAAATTTGCATAGAAGACATACATTTTTATAAGGGAATTGTAAAATGTATTGGATTTGTAAATTGATATCTTTAGGTGGATAGATATGGGTTATAAGGTGTCCATATATAGGTCACAAGATGCATTGCAATGTGCCCTTGCAATTTGGCTGTTTGGTATGGGTACTAAATACCCTAAAGGACAGACAAATTAAGATCTGATGTCTATGCCAAGCAGCTTCCCATGGCAATGTTTTGACAGCTTTGACTACAAAGGGTGGATCTCTAACAGAAAATAATGGGTAGTCAGGGATTTGCCTCTAAATCCTTACGCAGCATCACCTGGACCTGCTCTGGTTTTTTTCTCTGTAATTTGGTGAGATATTTTGTACAGCATACACTGTGAAAGGCTCATGTATCACCTATATGGAACAATGGCTATATTTTAATTTATTTATGTGGATTCAGTGCCAACCTGAAGTTTGCACCAACTATATATACATGCTCATGTACAGCAGCTTATGTAAAATGTGCAAAAGGCAATGCTGAACGGTAATCCTTAGCAGCCAGTCATGTTTTAGTATTCATCATTCGGGCACTATCATGAAAGTGAACTTTGAATGGTCTCTCCAGATTATCATTTTGTTGGCCGTTGCCTGTCACCTTTGTTAGAGAGCCTAGTATTGCTGACCGGCACAATATAAACGGGTTCAGTGGCATTAAAGGATATAGATGGACGTATGTTAGAGTTATTGTTTCATTCAGCTTTAATCAGGAAAGGCAGGTGAGTGATATAAACCAGACAGCAGTCTATGAGGAGATATCAATGAATTTAGTATGCTCAGTTTACTATCATCTGATGATGATATGAAAGAGAAGTGAAACTATGTATGTAGCTAGATAGAGTTGTACATGACATTGATTTTATCTTAATTTTGCCTCGTCAGAATGCAGTCAGCCATTTTCATGAAAACTAGGTTTGGTGTTTTTTTTTCATTGGCATCGGAGTAATTTTGCCAATATGAAGTATTATTAATCATTTTTTATAATTCTTTCAAAATGGCTCCTCCACTGTGCAGGTACCAGGTATGCTTTTACTTTGTCTGTGTTTTCAAGGGAAGGTGTGTTAATCTGACTTAAAATGGGTTTTCAATAGGAAAAGTAAAATCTTTTTTTCGCCGTTTCACGGTCGCACGCAATCTGTAAAATGGGCATGTTGGGTATCGTTTTACTCGTTGTAACCTCATCTTTTATATTTCATTAAAAAAATGGGTAATTTGTTGTGTTTTGGGGCATTTAATTAAATTTGTCACTAAATTTTGGGGTTTAATAAGGAGTTGCGCTAATATTGCGCAACATAAAAATTTTCAACTACCACCATTTTATTCTATAGGGTCTTGGCATTCAGAAAATATATAATGTGGGGGGTTTTACGTCATTTTCAGGCCTAAAATGTGGAATATAACATGGGTGCAAAAATGGAAAAAAGGGCCTCAGTCATGAAGGGGTTAAATATACCTAAATATAAATATATAATGTATGTTTTCCTGCCTTTCACCATTAAGGGATACATGATGTTGCCTAGCTTGACTGAGTGGATGATGCTGTATATTTGTTGAGATCAAGCTTTTCCCCCCGGCACACACACAAAATCCTAGGGTGACCACCAGACATAGTACAGATAGGCAGGGGTAGCCTGCACCCATGTATATTATTATACAGGATTTATATAGCGCAGTGCTTTACAATATAAGGAAGACATTACAATCACAATACAATTCAAGACAAGATGGTAAGGAGGGCCCTGCCCGTGAGGGCTTACGATCTAAATGGATGTAAGCCTTCAAGGTGCACTACAGAGTCTATCCTCAAAGTGACATCTTCCGCCGAGGACATTCTGGCATATCCATGGAAAGCAACAGGCCACCCAGTATTTTCTAAAGTCATCGGATCTTGTTTCCGAAGCCAGCAGAATTGTTGAAAATCCAGAAACCCCCTTTTAAGTCGGTGAACTGAAAATCCAGAAACCCCCTTTTAAGTCAGTGAACTGAAACCTATCTCATTGCTTTTACCATGTCCTGCTTTTTGTAAGTCCAGACAAAAATAAAAATGTTAGCCTCTTCAAGTTTGCTTTCACAAGACTACCACATACTGTACACACCTATAAAATGTTCATAAAAAATACACTGTAAGTTTGCATCTTGCGGTGATAGAAAAAAAAAACCAGATCTAGAATGTTCTTTTGTCATAAGATATATTAATAATGTAAGATGACTATTTTTTTGCTGGCGCTTTTTTTACCAATTTATTAATTACAGCTGTGATAGCATGACTAGCAATATGTTTTGATAAATTATACATAAAATCTCTCTCTATATATATATATATTACCTGTGTTCCTAGTACTAAAGACTATTTTTTTTGCCATGGACTGTACACAAGTACATTCAACAAAAGATTTCTAAGAGGTTATCAAGTGTAAATATGTATATTTGACTTTGTAAAGAACATGTATGTTACCTTGTATAGAGAAAACAAATAATTTAAGTGAATGGACGGAAAAGGAAAAACCGTTTGGAGAAATGGAAAGAAGTTTTTTGTTTTTGTTTTTAGCATTATTTAAATGAAGGAGGTTTGGTATAACTTCACAGGAAGTGTTTAGCACAAGATATCTATGTCACAGTTAACAAGAATCACACTGTCCACCTTATAAAAATCAATAACATATGCATTGTTTATTCCTATTTTAACCCAGCGGATGCATCCATGACACAATATTTAGAACTGGGAAGTACACTAACAATACATTAGGAGTTGTCTATTTGACTATTTAGCCCAGCACACATACAACAATAATGGATGACCACTTTTCTCCTCACTTTAACATAGAGTTACGTTGTGTTGTTTTCTTATTGCAGTGCATTATATTTTGAATCATAATAAAAGAAAGCATTCAATAAAAGTCGGTTCTTTTATTATTTTAATCTGTGTGATCTAAAGTTCAAAGCAGAAAAAAGTTATTAAATGGTGTGTTTAGCAGGGAACCTATTATTCATGGCAATCATGTACTTGGTGTCAGACCATTCAAATAGCTGCACACACGGATTTTATTAAGCTCCTGCCTTGCGGCACAGTCTCTGTGTTCCACCCCGCTAACGCGTTTCCCCCTATAGTGGGTTTAGTCATAGAGGTACAACTCTCAATCTCTACAACTAAGCCCAGTCTTGGGTGAAACGCGTTGGAGATGGAACACAGGAACTGTATGGCATGGCAGGAGCTTAATTAACTTGTTTTTAAGCAGTGATTCCCTCGGTGTGTGGCTATTTGAATGGTTTGACAGTTTCAGGTAGAGCAAGAACGCGTTCCCTTTGGCCAGCACACGACCTGTCTCTCTCTGCTTCACACAAGCTGAACTCCGGGACTGAGTGGTGTTCTCCCTTTTCAATCTAAATAATGTTCCTGGATCATGCTAAAATAAAAATCCATTGATTCTGATATGAATGATTGCAGTCCTCTATGAATGATTACATCAATATGCTATCATTCCAAGCAGTGAAAGTGAGTGAATTTGACTTGTTATCCGCCTCTTGCAATTTCCTGAACAGTAGAGCTCAGACTGGGTAAGGGAGAAGTAGACCGAGGAGACAGGATTGTTGCAGTGCTCATGTGCTAACAGGAGGAGGGAGCAGACTAACAGAGAGATAAACTCATCCATCTGCTGCTTCTCCTTCCACTGTCCTGTCATAGGCTGAGGGAGGGACAAGACCTGTAAAGTGTTGCTTAAAAATCAGTTTTCCTGCCAGACAGGGTCATGCTGTGTGGCAGAGTTGTGTAACCGTTGGGACTGGATGGACAGAAATACAAATCATTCATCAAGTAAACCAGCTTACATATACTGCATGTATTTAAATGTTTTATTTAGCTGTTTCCTGTTGTTCAGTTTCAAAATGCCAGCCCTGAAAACCAGATTTGTGACTGGTGCTCTGGAGCTGTGATATCTTTAAGTATGTAGAGCGTTGACATGACTGGAGTTTCCAGTTTCTCCTGTTTCTTCACTCCACAATTGCATAGCAATGAGGACGAAAAGAGACACGGATGCACCAAATTCAGACTTTCATGAACTAAACTTTGGTCCAAAGCTCTGCTGAAACCTATAGCATTTAGACTTGTAGGTGCTTTAGGGCCAAATAACATTGGTGCATTGTGATGACTTTACTGGACATCACCACAGCGCACATTAATGAACAAACTGCAGTGCATTACAGTGCCATACATGCAAAAAGAACAAACACAGAGCGCCACCTCCATCTGAAGAATCATTTATTACAAGTTCACAGCAATGGTTAAAAATGTGATTAGCAGCCCCTGAATAGTAATGCTCACACCGAATACGGTGCGTTCGAGAGCGGTAGCTA